TGGGATTATAGACACACACCACTGTACTCAGCCTAATTATGTGATTCTTGCCTTGGCTTCTGATAAAAGGCTGCGTTGTGTTTATCAATCCACATATGCTGAACCATTGTTGCGTTCCTGGATTGAAGCCAACCTCATCACGATGCATAATCTTTTTAATGTGTTGAATTCAGTATTTTATTGTGGATTTTTTTTGCATACATGTCCATTAAGGAAATTGGCCTACATTTTCTTTTTTTGTTGTCCTTGTCTGGTTTTGGCATCAGGGTAATCTTTGCTTCACTTTATAGAATGAGTTTAGAAGCACTGCTTCTCTTTGCATTTTATTTAATAGTTTGAGGAGCATTGATATTAGTTCATCTTTAAAGAGCTGATAGAACTCTGCAGTGAATCCTTCCCATTCTGGGATTTTCCAAGTTGGGAGTTTTTTAAGGCATTATTATCACTGTTGAACTATCATTGCTCAATATTTATCTGTTGCAGTTACTTGTATCTTTTTGGTTCAATTTTGGTCATATCTATTTGTCAATTTCTCCTAGATTTTCCAATTTATTGGAGCATAAATTTTCAAAATGTTTCCTAATGATCCTTTGGATTTCAGTGGTATCTGTTGTAATATCACCTTTTTCATCTGTAATTTTATTACTATGGATCTTCCTTTTGGTTAGTTTGGCTAAGGGTTTGCAAATCTTGTTTATTATTTTGAAGAACTATCCCTGTTTGATCATTTGTATTATTCTTTTAATTTCCAGTTCTTGAATTCCCACTCTGCTGTTTATTATATTTTTCCTTATACTAATTTTGTAATTGGCCTGTTCTTGTTTTTCTAAGACCTTGAGGTACCTTGTTAAGTTTTTCATTGGAAAATACCTCTGACTTTTTTTTTATAGGCATTTATAGGTATAAACTTCCCTCTTAGAACTGCTTTCACTATTTCCCATAGGTTCTGGTATTTTATATTTTCATTTGCATCTTGGAATTTTTAAATTTTTCCCCCCTAATTTCATCAGTGACCCACAGGTTATTCAAAAGTGTACTATTCAGTCTCCATGTGTTGTATATTTTCTGTAGTTTCTTTTGCTGCTGATTTCTAGTTTTATTTTGTTGTGATCTGCTAAAATACAAGAAGTAATTTCAGTTTTCTTGTATTTGTTAAGAGTTGCTTTATGTTCTAAAATGTAATCTATTTTGGAGAAAGTTCTGTGGGCTGCTGAGAAGAATGTGTCTTCTGAGGCTGTTGAGTGGGATACACTGTAGATTTCTGTTAAGTTCACTTGATCTATAGTGCCATTTAATTCTGAAGTTTATGTTGAGATTTTGTCTGGGCAACCTATCTATTTGTGAGAGTGGAGTATTGAAATCACACACTATTATTGTGTTGGAGTCTCTCTGTGCTTTCATTTCCAGTACTATTTGTTTTATAAAATTATTTACAAGTATTATATCTTCTTGAAGGTAACAATATATTGTGAATTTCTTAGTCTCTTCTGGCTCATTTTGGTTTCAAGTCTTCTTTTTCAGAAATGAGTATAACTACTCCTGCTTTCTTTTAGTTTCCATTTGTTTGGAATATATTTTTCTATGTTTTCACTTTAACCCTGTGCTTGTCTTTGTCACTGATTTGCATTTTTGTTGAGTCTCATTGTTTAATTTAATCCACCAGTCTGTGTCTTTTGAGAGTTATTATTGAAATGTATGTAGCAATTCTTGTTATTGTGATGTATGTGCAATGTTTGATTGTCTCTTAATCCTTGTTTGCTCATGCATTCTTCTAGTGAGATTTAGTCTTTCCCATATTCTCATGGTCCTGTTTATCTTGCTCTTCTGTGTGTAGGATTCTTTAAAGTAACTTCTGTAGTGCTGACTTAGTCGTCATGTGTTTTGTTAATTTTTGTTTATCATAGAAGGTTTTTATTTCTCCTTTAATTATGAAGGATAGCTTTGCTGGTTACAGTTATACAGGTGGGCAGTTTTTTATTTCAGGGCTTGAAATATCTCATTCCATACCATCCTGACTGCTAGTGTTTCTGTTGAGAAATCTGCTGTTATTCTTATGAGATTGCCTTTATATGTGACTCGGTACTTCTCTCTTGCAGCTTTCAACATTCTTTCCTTATTCAGTATTTCTAATGTTTTAGCTATAATATGATGTGGAGGGATTCTTTACTCGTCTTCTCTGCTTGATGTCCTAAAAGCCTCCTATACCTGGGTGGCTATCTCTTTCCCAAGTTTTGGGTGATTTTCTGCTATTATTTTTTTAATGTGTTTTCTGTGCCTTTAGAGCTCTTCTTCTTATGTCCATGAGTCATAGGTTTAGTGTTCTAATTATGTCCCAGAGGTGTGTATGTTCTGTTTGTACTTACGTTTTTCTTTAATTGGTCTGAATATTTTAATTTATCTACCATGTCTTTAAGTCTTGATAGTCTGTCTTCATCTTAATCCAGTATATTGGTAAGGCTTTCAACCAAGTTTTTTATTTGGCTTATTGAGCTTTTCATTTACAGCATTTCAATTTGATTTTTCAGGATGTCTATATCTTTATTGATTTTTTTCTTTCATGTTCCACAGTCTTCCTTATTTAACTATTTATGTGTATTCTCTTGAGTTAATTCAGGTATATATTGGTGACCTCTTTAATTTTATTGATCATTCTTACAATCATTATTTTGAATTCTTTGTCTAGGACTTCATTCACTCCACTATCATTACAATCTGTTATTTGGGAATTGTTGACTTTTGGAGGACTCACATTGCCTTGATTTTTCATATATATATTTTTTTGTTGTTTCTGTATAGTAACTTGTGCATCTGAGGTCAAGTCATTGGTTGGAGGTTTTAATCACCTTTATTCTTTCAGTTGAAGCCGGCTTAAAATTCAGGCAGCATTGGGTAGTGGCAGGGTTAAGATAATAGTTTCTCACTATTGGACTACTACTAAGACTACTACTTCCTTCTTTCTTCCTCCTCCTTCTTCTTCTTCTTTTGTCCTCTTCCACTTCCCCCTTCCCCTTCCTTCCTTCCGTCTTTCCTTCCTTCCTTCCTTCCTTCTTTTCTTTCTTTCCTTCTTTCTTTTCCTCCTCTTCTTCCTCCTCCTTCTTTCCTCACTCCTTTCCTCTCCCTCCTCTCTCTCACCACATAGTCCAGGCTGGCCTTGAGCTCACTCTGTAGCCCAGGCTGGCCCAGAACTCAGGATCCTCTGCATCAGACTTCAGTGCTAGAATTACAGGTTGTGAGACCACACAGATAACTATCTTTTTGATGTGAATGAAGAAGTATTTTCTTTTGTCACAAAGTAGTGTGACAGAGCACTAAACCAAACTAGAGATTTTTTAAAAAGTATCTTCCACTTTTTCATTTTTAGTTCCAATTTCTCCTACTTAGTCTTATTTTATGAGAACTTAAATGCAAATGAATAGCTATTAAACTTTTGATTATAACAACAGAAGCAGAACTTACTGGAAAATGAATACTGATTTTTCTTGACAATAAATGAATATCTTTTTTTTGGTTGACATTAGTGATGTAATAATGGTTATTAAAATATTTAAATATTTGAATGGCTCAGAAAGGAGAATTCCGTCAGATTGGAATTGAATAAAAGTACTACTTCTCTCTCAATATTAGGAAATGCATGAAAGTTTTATCAAGTTGGTAGGGAGTAGGAGAAGAAAAAAATACAATTAAAGGAAAAATGGGCAGTTTGAAATATATGACCATTATAAAACTACAAAATTATTGTGATAATGACAAGAGAAAAACTTTCAAAGAATAGCTAATATCAAGATGAGAAATGAGAAAAAATTTTCAACAAAACTTACTCATTCCCCCCTGGTGTTTTCAATTGAAATGACACCTTTTCATGAACTCATTTTGCCTCTCCTCCTTTAGAACTCCATGTAATTTTAGGTGTACTTGCTCTTGCCACAGATTAAACCATGTGAAATTACATTTTTGTAGGTTAAAAAATGGTTACATTTTGGCAATGACATATGGTCCAACCTGGGTTTTTTTGAGCCATTAGCCTAGATATATAGACATTTGAAATGAAGTACTATAGGTCACACCACCTGTTAGTGTTGAGGCTGCTGTTTTAATTTTGTTGAGCCTAATTTCAAAGATTTTACTATTTTTATTGCAATAATGAATGGATATTTGTTAAATGGAATATTTGTGTGTGCTCTTTAGACACTGAGAATAATGGCATATCTGCAGAGTGCTCACTAACAATTAATGAATGAGCAGATGAATTAATGAATGTGTACAGCTTTTCCACAGGGAGCATTTATTCTTTCCCAGTTAATTATTAAAGTGAAAAAGACAACACAACGCACCATATGAGATAGCAAAGAAGTAGTTTTCTATTTCTTATTTGATATATTTAAAAAGCCATATTTAAAGAACTCAGAACATTAACAATTCATCAGTATTTGCTTCCATACTTTGTTCTATAAATCATTTAACTTTATTAGTGACTTTCTGTTATACTGTGTCTGGTATAAAGCAGATTTATTACCATACATACAAGAAGGATTTCATTATAGCAGGTTAACACGTTACATAGATACTTTGTATAATTCTTTTAAAAGAACAGAAAATTGCCAGTGCTTTCATTTTTCGAAAGGCAAGTTATCTTTTGAAATGTGTTTGAAAAGAACCTGTGCTTGTCCTTCAAACTCTAAATCAAATTTTCCCTTCCATAAACAAAGTAAATTTTAGGTAAAAAGCACCCACAAAACTACTAGTTATGGTCTCTGTAAAAACCAGATATGGTGGCTATAACCATAAGTCATAGATACATCCTGCTGCCATTTCTGGCCAGATTAGAGTTTCAGTTCACCCCTGCTGATTCGGGTGAGGGATTAATGTTACTTTAAAATCACTATCAGCTAGGAATTGAGGATGGAAAAAAAGCGTTATTCTTGATTGGAAATCTTATTAAGACTTGTAAAAAAAGATATGTCTACTATATATACCTAATGTCTTAATATTTGTTTTTGAAGGGTCCACCTGGTCGGCTGGTGTCCCCGGTCTGTCAGGAAAAAGAGGTCCACGGGTGAGTAGACATTTCCAATTGACTGTTAAAATTAGTAACTTTCCAGTATGTTTTTTCTAGTATTGTACAATGTGTACTTCCTCTGGAAACATGCCTGGATCTTCAAACATAGCTCTACCTTTGCCAGTTCAAGAGAAGTTTAAGAACACGTGCAGCCTTGTTTATTTGAGGGTAAACAGCCAGCCAAAGAATTCCCTGTGAAAATGTCCAAGAAAGATCATCAAATTTGTCAATAAATTGCTCTGGTGCTACTTGTAACATTATCCTTAGTTACAAAATGATCTCAATAGTCTAAGGTAAAGTTCATTTGGGAAAAGAAGAGGATTGGGCTGTCTGAAGATAGTGCATTCCTGGATTACATAGTGGAAAATACTGGAGCTATTGACTCGAAAAAAAAATGCCTAGAGGAAAAAGGCGTCTTAAGGATCAGCAGTAGTTTCTCTCATTACACAGATCCAACAAAAGATTTATTGCTATGTTAGAATTAGTTTCTTTCAAGCCATACACAATAAATGTGGATTTTTATTAAAGAAAGCCAGTCTTTCTTCAATGAACTAGGAAAAGTATTGTGTGTTATTAAGATAAATATAAATGCCTTTATATAATTCATTTTTTTATCCTGACTTTTATCATACAAACAGTATAAAACAAAATCATCCTAAAATCACACCAAACTCTTGTGCATTTGAAACATAAGATAAATTCTCACTGGGCTTTAGTTGTTTAGCATTTTCTAAATTTCTCTATAGTGGATGATCTCCAGGCTCTTGCAATATTCCTTCTAAATCTTGCCCATTCTTCTCTAGCACTGGAAGCGTTCCCATCCTCTCTCTCTGTGAGGAGACCCAGATCCTACTTTTCTTGCACTAATTTTATTACTTTTCCATACTAAGGCTGTCCTCCTGGGAGGATGACCACTGGGTTCTGAGTCTCCGTCTATGCTAATGATGGTTCAGTTTCCTTCCCTAATCCTTCCCCCACTTTGACTTGCCCAATCTGCTTTCCCTAGTACACTTCTTCTCAAGTCTAGTTATTTCAACAGTGTTCCCAATTTCATTCCCTTCAATTAATTATCTAATTTTGATGTTATAACCATCACATTTTTTTCCTCTCCCTAAATTTTATCCCGTTTGGCCCGAACATTCATTCATATTAATTTTTCCTAAAGGCATTGCCCTGACTCACTGTGGTATTAATAGGCTTTGTGAAATAATGGTTTATATCCATCAACAATTCATTCATTAACCCCTGGTTTTTTTTTTAACCATCTACATATTAAAATGTACTTTTTGAAAGTTACAAATTACCTCTAATATTTTTCCTTAGTTTTCATCTTGCTAGGTATATCTTCAATATTTACATTGCTAACACCCCTGCTTTCTAGAATATTCTGCTTTAGTAATACAGAACTGAAGAGACAAATAATTATTAGCTATATGTTTTGTGCAAGATGGAGGTATGGCTAAATAGCCTAGAGGTGGAATACAAAGCCCAAGTCAGTTTAGGGGATTGGAGACCTGAAAGTCTTTCTAGGGAAGGTGATTCTCAGTTCTATTTACTGGTTGTGTGAGCTTAAGTTTCCTCATTTGTAAATGGGAATAAAAATAATCACTTTGTAGGATTGCTATAAAGCTTTGTAATGAGAAATATGAAACATGAACACAGCTCTTAGCACATAGTACGTGCACAGTAAAAAGAATCAATTTTTGAATTCAGATTGTGTGATTTATCAGTGAAGTACAATTAAATTGACAAATTTTCATTGAGTGGCTAATATGTGCTGAGTACTGTACTAGCAATATAGAGTGTGTTTTCAAAGAATTTATATTCTGTAGCTAAATATCACATGCTATGAAGCAGTTAAAATAGCAATAAAATACTTAAATAGCAGATTAGAACAGTATTAAAAATTTCCCAAGGCATTATACAATTAATTGGCAAATGAATTATGCATGTAGTCATTTCTACAGAAGTCAGCAGGAAAGATATATTACTTAAATGAGGTGGAACATCAATTGAGAGCTGAAGAATCATTTGGATGGTATGGGGGCAAAGTAAATCTTTCTAGCACACATCATACCATCAGCAAAAAGTCAAGTGCAGATTGTCATTTCCAAGACTGAAATATATGAGATCTCAGAATAAAGAACTTTGATAAAAACAAAAGACATTCATTTTAATTAAAATATATTCTGTAATATTTACTTGAATGCAAAATAAACACTGTTTATATTGTTATGTGTATCTGTTTCATGAATAATCAGATCTGATTATTTGCAGGGTGTACCAGGACCACATGGAAATCCTGGACTACCTGGATTACCAGGTCCAAAGGTCAGTGGTTACTACTGAGAATCACACAATTATCCTCACATTTCAAAAGCAGTTTTTAACTTTTAAGGACACAGAAGTCTCTGTCATCTCTGAATCATGATTCTTTAAAAGGATTGTCTTAGCCTGGCAGAGAGCTAGGTTCCCCCCAAAAGCCCACGTAACTCAGATTTAGATTTATATTCTTTCATTGGTTTTTTTTGTTTTGTTTTGCTTATTAAATTTTTTTTTCAGAATTGGGAATGGAATCCAGGGCCGTACGCCAGGCAGGCATTCTACTACTTGATCCATGACCACAGTCCTTTTGCTTTTTTAAATTTTGAGACAGAGTCTCATTAATTTTTCCCAAATTGTCCTTGACCTATCAACTCTCATGCATCTGCCTCCTGAGTAGCTGGGATTATAGGCATGTACCACCACATCTGGATTTACGTTCTTAGTGGTAAAGTCAGCTACAGCCCTGATTTAGTATTCTAAAATGTCTGTTGTCAAAATATAGTAGAAATATATGGAAACATCTAAAATAATAGATTATGATTTTCATAATTTACCTTAAGTCAGGCCATTTTTATTTATAAGTACTGAGGAAATAAAACATCATTTGTTTTCCTGCTTCACTAACATTTTCATTTGAACAGATATCTGTGTGGGTATTTATAGGATAATCAAAGTTTTGTGAAAACAACTAACCTGACATCCTATATGTATGAGCACACGTAGTTGTGTGATAGTACCATGGAAGATAATAGTATGATAGAAATAGTATGAGCATTAAAAAAAAGTGCAAAAGAACAAGTATCAGGATGGTTACCTTGAAAGGAAGTATGGGAATAAAGGGCTCACGATATATGTCATAATTTCTGTAATTACATGTATATGAAACAAAAACAATTCTATTTTTCTTTTCTCAACTCTTGTTTGGCAAGAATAACATAGCTGGAATTATTGGAGAAAAATATTTTTAAAAATGTGTCCACATCAGAGGGGGATTGCCTTAACCTACAGAAAGACAAAATTAAAGGCAATTTCAAGTTTTAGAGGGATTTAACTGAAGTGGGCAATGTAGCACATTATGGAACCTTTAACAAACATATTTGAAGTAATGTGCTTTACATAAATTATCAGAATTTATAAGGCACCTTATACGAGTTAAATGAAATTATGTACATATAACACCTCATAGAATGCTTGTTCATAGTTCACACTTAGGAAAATGTTATTTTCTGACTGGTGTAGCTCAGTGGTAGAACACATGCTTTGCAAGCCAAGGTGCTGGGTTCCATCTTCAGCACAGGACAAGAAGAAAATGTTATTTCTCTTTTCTTAGAGGAGATATTTATGAGGTGACTGGGTTAATTAGAAATAAAAGTGTTACTGAAATAACACATTTATTATTTGTTAAAAAATAACACTTTGTTGTGGCTCTTATGAAAACACCTAAACATAGTATAAAAATATATTTAGGTATATTTTAAAATTTATGAGCATAAAGTCCATTTCACTAAAATAGTCTACATTGATGCAAAATATCATTTTATTTTTGTTACACTTTAACAAATTAATATCATGAAGGATAAAAAGTATAGGCTGATCTTGATTAGTTGCCAACTCTGTTCGGGCAAAATGAGTTCTCAGTAGGATTTTGTCTTCTTCAATAGACTAAACCTTTTAACTATTTGAATTCAGAGGCCAGATATTATTCATCTTTCCATTTGTGCCTATCCCAGTGCCCAGCATATATTGGGCACTCAGTAAGTGCCAGGTGGAACCAACAGGCTGTCTTAATGTTAATATTGAGGCACTGGTTTTATGTGGGAAAGAGTCTTAGCAATTGTTCAGCATCTACTATCTGCCAGTCATCTGATCTTTGGCATCCCATTTAGTTTCTTCTCCACTGGGAGTTCTGGGAGAGGAGGCTTCATTACCTCCTGCTTGTACAGAAGAAAACATTCAGAGAAGAAGCACCTAACCAAGACAACATAGTTTGTAAATGGTAGAGTTAGATTCAAAATTGGATGTCATAATGTTTTTCTTACATTAGACTATCCATGTAGAATTCTTTTATAATATACCACCTTCAGGATGAAGGGTAGAATTGGAGGCACCTAACTTAAAGACTTTATGAATTTATTCAATAAATATAACAAGTTCTAGTCTAAGTCCTAGCTCCTCTTGTGGAATACTGATATTAATATAAACTCCGTGAAGAGTGAAACTGATCTCTAGTCCCTGAGAACTCTGTTGCCAAATTTTTAAATAACTGAAGAAAGTGCTACACAAAAATTTTAGTGTATATGTAGCAATTTTTCCTCAGCATTAGTAAATTATTATGATTTAACATAGAGAAAAGACTACTGAACTCAGTAGCTAAAATCATTAGTTGATATCAGGAGTAAATACCCTCGTTAAAAAAAAATCATGAATTCTATTTCCTGTTTGTTAGAATAGTTTTTTTTTTTCTTGTCATAAACTGCCATCAGGTCCATAGCCCATATTTATCTACATAATGAACTAAATTTTTATTTGCAGTAGTTCTTCCCACATCGTCCAAGGATATTTTCAGGACCTCCAGTGAGTGCCTGAAACCTCTCAGCACCAAACCCTTCATTATAAATCCTATGTTTATTCCTATACATACCTATCTATGGTAAAATTTAATTTTAATTAGACAAGGAAGATATTAACAATAACTAGCTAAAAATATAATTATAGAAGTACATTATAATAAAAAGTTATTTAACATTTATGCATTGTTTATTTCTGTAATCATCTATTTAATATCTTTGGACTATGATTGGCCTTGAGTAAGTGAAAACATAGAAAGCAAAGCCCAGAGGAGAGGAGACTACTGTTTTTACAGGGTAGGGACATTTTTATTGCTATTAAGCAATGATACCACAAGTAGTGAATGAAGCAAAGTATATCTTCAACCTGTCATGTACATACAAGTCCAGCCCCAGTACTCTGTCATCAGGATAGAGCCATTCCCAAAATACTTCCTACAGGAAACTTAAATACACTATACAAACATTCACAGCTTAGACTTTAGTCAGGGTCAACAGTTCCTTCAAATTTAATACAACTAAATGAAAACATTTAACCCTAATAAACTGAAATCACAATGTTTCAATGATAATATTAAATGAAATGCTATTAAAATACTAAATTTTGAACTCCAGAGAGTAATATCTTAATGCTGTGTTCTAGTCCTGGTTTTGGCCCGATGCTCCCATATCTTCATTTTGTATTTCTCTTAACCAGAAGTACTGTTTTTCATTGTGTATGAATTAATTAAATATGCTAAATATAGGTGCTGATCCCACTAATAATTATTTACTTGGTCAGATTGCCATAAAAATTGTCAGTCCAACGTTGTGAAAATGTTAATACATCAATTGCTAAAAACTGAGGGACTTATATTTCTAGAATTCATAGGCACCTTGGAAAAAAACAGATGAAATACATGATCTTCTCCTTTGGTTTCATGCTTGTGATTTATTTCACAGTTAAAATGTGACTTAGAAATATTGAAAATTTGTCTTTCTAGTTACCAGAGACTGTTAGTGCCATGTCAAAAGGATTCAGGTGCAAATCTGAATAGCCAATGATTGGAATAATTTGAGTATCACATCCCACTAAACTAAATCCTTGAGTTTGTCTGCCAAACAGACAAAACTTCATTAGTTACCTTTAAAGAAATACATCTGTGAGATTCTCAAATCCTCTGACACCAATTAGATATTGAACAATTCAATTTCATTCTGACACCAACTACTCAGAATTAGCATCCCAACTGCATAGGCTTCTGGCCTCAGTCCCACAAGACTTCTCATATACTCTGGATTCCAGCCAAAAGTTGGATGCCCAGGTCATCCACACTGGACTAACTCCAAATTCAGGGGTTCCCACTATCCACCCTCCTAGGCTTGGTATTTCACCAGAACACATTACCTACCGTTTACAGTTTATTGTAAGGGATGCAACTCAGGAAGAACCAAATGGAAAGATGCATAATATAGAGTATTGGGGCAGGAAATGTGCAACTTCCATGCTTCTCCTAGCTTACTATCTCCCCAGCAACTCAGTGTTTCCACCAACCCCAATCTTTTCAAGAGTTTTTAAAAACAATTTCTGGCCCCATATCCCTGCCTTACCATGGGGCAAGTAGAGCTAAAGTTCTCATCCTTTAATCACTTGTGTGTCTTTCTGGTGAATAGCCCCAATCCTGAAGCTATTTAGGGCCACACTTAAGTCATTCACAAGCACAAACTAAGGTGGCCAAAAAGGGCTCGTTATAAATAAGACACCTGTGTTACACAGGTAAGCCTAAGGGGATTAGGAGCTCTGTTCCAGGAACCAAGGACAGAGCTCAACTATATATTTTATTGTACTACATCACTATTTTTTTTAAATGGTAAACAGAAGAAAACAGAAAGGAATCGAAATTTTTCTTTAAAAATTGCCTCGCCTTTCTTAGAGAATTGAACCTCAGGATAACCAAATGTTTGACGAAGAGAAGTTTCTGTTACAGAAAATATAGTGAGTGAAGAAAGAATGCTAAAATATACAATCACTGTTTTATAATCTTGATGAAGAAAAGGTTGTAAAACAACAACCTGTTAAATCCAAAGGCCTTGAGGCAGAAGGAAGGTTGAACATTTTGAGTAATAGCTCAATGAGGTAAGGGGTAGAGGTCACAGAACTAGTAAGAGCTAGTTATGTAGGCTTTTGTAGGTAAGGATTTTGTTTGGATTTTACTCTGTTGGATACTCATTGAAGAGTTCTGAGCACATAAATAACATGCTCCAATTTATATTGCTAAAGGATAGTTTTGGCTGTCATGTGGAGAATAGAGTGGGGTGGCGAAAAGGTGGCCATAGGGACACTAGTTTGGGGTCTGTTCCCCTTGTCTACTGCTATTAATGGTGATGGCATTGATGATAGCTGTAGGGTGATGAGAAGTGCTCAAAATCTATATATATATTTTGCATGCAGTCTACATG